TGGGGATATTTTAAGAGATGTTTGTGTTATTATTATTATTATTATGTGTTTACAGGCAATCCCTATTCAACAGAAAACAAGTCAACTTGCTTCTGGAATTAGATCGCCACCTCTCCCCACAGATTATCTGGTTGAAATTAGCAAAGTTTTACTTTCCATGGATGATGTTGAATTATCACTTAATACTCCAGAGCTAAGCTCCGTTGTCTATGAAGACTTCTCTTTTCAGGAAGATTCTCTGAAGGTAAATATCCAGGCAGTGCATTTGAATAGCTGCAGTTTAATATAGAAATAAAGCAAGGACTTTGTTATAGTGCCTACCTAGATGATCTATAACCTTTTAAATATGTGCCAAGGAGTTAATTATATGTATGAAAAATAAACCTTTCCTATGTTTACCAATGAAATACTGTCAAAAATTTTAATATTTTAGGTATGGATTTTTAAGCGTGCTCAGTTATTAATTCTTTGCAACATAACAGACTTTTAAAAATCAAGTATATATACAAACCATATTTTTTTCTTATACGCTTGTCAGCTGATGTAAAATGTCAGCATTTATCTTACCACTTAGCGTGATATAAGATTGGCTAGTGGTTGTGTATGGATTGGCAAGTTGACTGTAACTTAGTTATGGATCTGGAAGTTTTTAGTTAATTCACAAAACTATTTAATATCATGAAGACTCTTCCTTATGATTTGATTGCACTTAAATGTCGTGACACAGTAAAATTGCTGGTAGAGTTGATAGGTTTGATAGTTTACTTCTATCACTTAAATTAGCATTATTAGATTTGAAAATATGAATAATTCTAGCTTCAAATGCTTCATTACCTTTAGAGAATGGTATTGAAGTTTTTTTATGTTCTGTACAAATGCCACTTTGATGATCTCTGAGGATTTTTTTCCCATCATTGGGATATTATGTAGCATTCTTCACACTTTGGCCAATACAGGGTATTATTTTTTTTCAAGTTTCCGATTTTGATAAGCAACAATTATGATGTCTCATTATTTTTAAATAGCTGTTATTCAGTATAAATTTTTGGTCTCCTGTGATTCCATTCTTCTATCTCTTTGCTTGGTTTTCTTAATGTATGATGATATATTCGTAGAATATCAAAGACCAACTGGACAAACTCGGAGAGCAGATTGCGGTCATTCATGAAAAACAACCAGATGTTATCCTTGAAGCTTCTGGACCTGAAGCCATTCAGATCAGGGATACACTTACTCAGTTGAATGCAAAATGGGACAGAATTAATCGACTGTACAATGATCGTAAGGGGTATGTGTAAATTAAATTAATATTTAATTTTTTAAAAAGGCCTATAAGTTCAAATGTACATTAAGATTAATGAGAATATGTTTCACATCTTTGTAATAGGCCCTATTTAATAAATTTTGATGAATGTAGTTCCTTGAAGAGGAATCAGATCATACATAGATCATCATTTGTCACATACTGTATAATATCTTAATAATTAAAGGAAGCACTTTTATATGTTTATCTTTATTGGAGTATAGTTGACTTACAATATTATATTAGTTTCAGGTGAACAACATAGTGATTCAATATTTTTACACATTATGCAATATACAAAGTTATTATAATATTATTGACTACTTGCTGTGCTGTATATTACATCCCTGTGGCTTTTTTTTTATTGAAGTATAGTTGATTTACAATGTTGTGTTAGTTTCTGGTATACAGCATAGTGATGCAGTTATATAGATATATATTCTTTTTCACTATAAGATAGGTTATTACAAGCAATTGAATAAAGTTCCCTGTGCTCTACAGTAGAACCTTGCTGTTTATGATATTATAATTATAATTTGTATTTCTTAATCCTTATTCATGTGTTTCACCCATCCTCCTATCCTCTCCCTTCTGGCAATCACTAGTTTGTTCTCTGTATCTGTGAGATTAAATATATATATACATATATTTAAAATCTTCTTTATCCAGTCATCTGTTGATGGACATTTAGGTTGCTTTCATATCTTGGCTACTGTAAAGAAAGCTGCTGTGGACATAAGGGTGCAGATATCTTTTCGAGCTAGTGTTTTCATTTCCCTTGAATTTATTCCTAGAGGCGGAATTGCTGGATCATTGGGTAGTTCTATTTTTAATTTTTTGAGGATATGCCACACTGTTTTTCATAATATTTGTACCAATTTACATTCTCCCCAGCAGTGTTATAAGGGTTCCCTTTTCTCCACATCCATACCAGCACTTGTTATCTTTTGTCTTTTTGATGATGGTCATTCTAACAGGTGTGAGGTGATATCTCATTGTGGTTTCAATTGCATTTCCCTAACGATTAGTGATGTTGATCATCTTTTCATGTACCTGTTGGCCTTCAGTGTATGTTCTTCGGAGAAATGTCTGTTTAGGTCCTCTGTCCATGTTTTAACTGGATTGTTATTTTGATATTAAGATCTGTGAATTCTTAATATATTTTGAATATTAACCCATTATCAGACATACCATTTGCAAATATCTTCTCTCAGTTAGTAGGCTGCTTTTTCATTTTGTTGATGGTTTTCTTTGCTGTGCAAAAGCTTTCTAGTTTGATGCCTTTGCCTCAGGAGTCATATCCAAGAGAAATTGTGAAGTTAGTCATGTGAAGGAGTAGAGTGAACACAACATTGCATAAGGTCACAGATAAGAGAAAGTGCAATGCTTTGCAGTACATGTAAATAGTTCTGTAGAACTGGAACTCATAGCAGAGAGATGAAACCAGAAAGACCTAAAGAGAACATCTTGGATGGACCTTGTATATCAGGTTGATTAGTTTGTATTTCACGCCGAAAACAATAGGGTACCACTGCCAAGGAGACGGCAGTGTGGACAGTGTGCCAGTTGCAGAATGGATTGGTAGAGAACAAGACTGAGAGCTAGGAGACCCGTCTGTGCTTGTCACATGATGACATAACTTGATTAGGAAAGTGGCTATGGAAGTGGAGACTAAGAGGAAATTTTGAGAATTAAATAGTTGAATCAGTAGAATGTGGTGATTGATAGGATGTTGGAGTAAGGAAGAGAGAGGAGTGAAAAATGAACCCCAAGTCTTTGTCTTGAGAACGTTAGGTAGGTGATGGTAACATTGTCAGGGACAGGGAACACACGTGGTGAGATGAGTTTGAGAGGGAAGCTAACAAGTTGGAATATTAGAGAAAGCAAACTTAACATTAACATGTTTCTAGTTCAAATCCAAACCAAAGATAGGGCAAGACTTGAACTTTGAGTCCTCTGACTCTGGAAGTCCATAGCCCTTCATGATTCCTGCTGCCCATACGAGCTAGCTGGATTAGAGAGGAGGCGATGGCTTTTTGAGATGGTAGGCCTAAACATGGATTTCTTTCTTTCTCTCATTCTCTTTCTCTCTTTTTTTTTTCACAAACTATATAGCTGTGCTACTTAGATTTATTTGAAATTTATGTTCTGTTATGATGATAATGATCTTTACTAAGTTTAATGTTTGTATTCTCAAAGTCTTTAGATATTTGGAGCAGCCTTTCTAGCAACATTTTCTATTCATTACTGTACCATCTCAAAAATCAGAACTTGTGTTTGCCATTTAGTTATTGCACATTTTTACAAACAAAGATTGTCCTAATATTTTCTCTTGGTGTTTTGTTTGAAGTGCTCTTATTTTCATGATGCCTAATAGAATGCTGCTTCCCTGTAGGCACTCAACAAATATTAGCTGAATTTCCAAAATGAATTTCATGAAAGAGGGAAATATACACATTAGATAGGCGTTAGCAATGTCAAGGATCATTTTATTATTTTTTAAAAATACTAATATTACCTTTTTATTATATAAACTTTTTTAGTATTATTAAAATTTTAGAGATCTTTTCTAAACTTCTCCTAGTACCACTACTCTAAACAAAGAAGCAGAGGGAAATTCTTCAGGATCCCAATCCAATAAAGATTTTCCTTTTTATACTTACATGTTCTGAATATGACAAGCACTGGAGCTCGACTTTATCTCATTTCTAAAGGAGTTAGGTTTAAGTAGAAGTCTTGGTAGTCTTTGTCTCATCGTCTAACCTGAGCTTGGCAGGCACTCCCATACGGTGCTGTGTTCACCAGATTAGTCATTGCACAGAGCATGTTAGTCTGCTAGGGAAGCCATAATAGGATAACGCAGACTTAAACAACAGACATTTGGTGGCTTAAACAGCAGACATTTATTTTCTCTCAGCTCTGGAGGCTGGAGGTCCTAGATCAAGGTACCTGCAGGGTTAGTTTCGGGTGAGGCTTCTCTTACTGGCTTGTGGATGGCCACCTTCTCACTATGTCCTTAAACAGCCTTTCCTCTGTGCTCTTGCAGGGGGAGCGATAGAGATAGAGAGAGAGACACACACAGAGTGAGCTATCTCTGATGTCTCTTCCTCTTGTTAGGACAACAGTACTATGGGATTAGTGACCCTTGTGACCTCATTTAACCTTAATTACTTCCCTAAACATTCTATTTCCAAATATAGTCATGTTGAGGGTTAGGGCTACAACAGAGTTTTGGGGGGCACAGTTCAGTTCATAATGCAGAGATAATGGACTGCAAGTAAATTTTGAAGTATTTTGGCCTTTTGGATTTTGTCCTAGCTAGGAACTAAGTGTTCTGGAACTCTGTTTTTTTCCTAAGAGAATAGAGTAATTAATCATATTTTACATTTCATGCTATTTGAAATGTTAAGTGTTTAAAGTTGGGTGGGTTAACATGCCTGCAGCTAATCTATCTTGATTTTTCAGGCCAGAGAAGGCAGTCTTTTCAGTTAAAAAGCTGCCCTAGTGTGGATATGTATGTGCGTGTGAAAGTGAGGTGGGGATGTGGTGCACGCAGATTGCTTTGCTCTCGAAGAGGAATCGCTAACTGTAACCCACTACAAAAACTGGTCCTGTAGAGCAGCGAGCTGTGAATTACTCCTTCTGAGGCTTTCAGTTTAAATGAGATTTGAATTTCCTTTTTAGAAAATTGCTTCTCAGTACTCCTGGAAAGTTTGGAAATCCATTTTATTTTGTTTGTGGCCTTCTAGGTATTTCAGTAGGGCTGTGGAAGAATGGAGACAGTTCCACTGTGACCTTAATGACCTCACACAGTGGATGACGGAAGCTGAAGAGTTACTGGCTGATACCTTTGCTCCGGATGGTGGCCTGGACTTAGAGAAAGCTAGGAGACATCAGCAGGTGAGTGCTTTCTGTCCGAGGATGGGGATCTGCTAAAAAGGTGGCATATTTATTTAGTGTGTGCCATTGAAGACAGATTTTTGAAAGGAGGGGCTGAATATGTTAATTTTTCAGGAGTATATAGACAATCTGTAATTTTTGTTACAGTTCTAGTTTTAATGGTATAAGAAAAATTGTTCATTTCCATTCTTAATAAGGATTTTTTAAAAATTTAAATAAAAAATACTCTTTAGTGGCATATGTGGGAAACAATTTGATTTTTTAAAATTTTATCTTCAGAATAACATTTGTAAAGTTTTGTACCCAAGACTGTATCAAGGAGAGAAAGATATCTACATACCTCACCTTTATTTTCTATGGGTAAACACTTAGGCATCTTATTTTTCTTGATATCATTGACTGTTACCATAAAAGTAAATTATTCTTGAGCTGTATCAGGGCAGCTGCTCATGTAAGTCTAATTCAGTCTTGGGAAAATATAACACAATAGATAAATCAGTTCTGCTGATAATAATAGGTCTTTAAAAATAATGATTGAAAGCAAGCAAAATTTCAATTTACCATTCTTAAAAATATTTTCTTTTATTAAAATTTTAACGCATATTTTACGTAGAAGACTTATGAGAAGTTAGAGAATGCTTTTATTTTCCTCATAAATATGTTAATACATTTTTCTTATTTTTAGAGGTGTAGAGAAGTGCTTAAGTTTGACTTTAAAATATCCATTCTTAACCCGTTACTTAAAAATTTACAGACCAGAAAAGCATTCACGAGCGTGGGTTAGATTTCAAAATAGACTTGCTTTAATATGTCCACTGAAATGTAATGAAAGTGTTAAACATGTTTTTTGCACATATGTAAAATGTCCTTCCAGAACTTTGTTTCTCTAACACTTACATTGACACCACGGTACCCGGGTGGATTCATGGCCCCAGAACAGTTTAATTTGGTGGTGGGGTTCATCTCGAGTTGTTGTTCTCTGTCGCAGGACTTGGAAGAGGGGCTCAGCTGCCACCAGCCCAGTTTTGCAGCACTGAACAGAACTGGGGACGGGATTGTACAGAAACTCTCCCCGACAGATGGAAGCTTCCTGAAAGACAAGCTGGCAGGGGTAAACCAACGCTGGGGAGCGATCGCTGCAGAAGTGAAGGACCGGCGGCCAAGGTGATTGAGCCGTGATCACTCGAGGGCACTGGGTGAAGGCATTCGGGCAGAGCCTCTGGAGATCCAGTCCCATGAGAGCCAAGTTCTCTTGTCATCTGAAATTACACGAGGCGTTGTATTGACGTTTAAGACCCCCCACTGCCTGTGCTTCGTGTTGTTAGAACATGGTCTCTTACTGTACTTTTAGGCTACCCGTGAAGTCTTACTTCTCCACTCATATGCCATACATGTCAGAAATACCTTTATTCTTCTTCTTTCGGTTTATTATGGTATGGTGACCAGGTGGCAGGAACTTGAACTGGGTGAAAGAATGCTCTGGACCTCCAGTCTGAACATCTTGACTCAGAGTCAGGCCTCTCCCTCGCTCATTTCCTGCCTGGGTCTCGGGGACTTCACAAGTAATCCCTTTCACTCGCTAGGTCTTGGTGTCTAAGGGTGTCTCGTGTCCTTATATGCCAGTGCTGTGCACATAATACAGTTCCTCATCTACGTGATGTAATACATATAGTGACTTATTGTGTGTTTTTATGTCAGATTATGTTATAATGTACCAGATTTTATTAGAGTGTCTTCTGGTTGTAAATATGTTTGATTACCAGTGAATATAACACTCAACATTGCTTGTGTTATTTTATATGTTACTTTAAAATTATTTTAAGTTGTGTTTTGAGACAATCAAGATTTAGTGGACGATTCCTACTTTGCTTAATATATTCCATTTCATCAATGACTTTTTTGGGGGGGTGGAGGTTAGTGATAGTTTTGGATTAAAATGTCCCAGATAGTTTTTTTTCTGTTATTTTTTAACTCTGTTTATGATGTATTATTTTAGTGAAAAACTGTTGTTTGGTTAAAGGTCAATCTAATACTTTATCAAGTTCAGTATTATACTATAACGTAAAATTTTGAACTTTGAATATTTGGCCCATGGCTGCCTTTTATGAAATAGCATCATATGTTATTTTGTGTATTTTGGTAAAAGGCAAATCATAGTTTCTGTGTCTTGGTTGAGATGTTGCCACGTGGCAGAGACAAGTGCTTGGCATCTTACACACAAGGTCTCATTCGAACCTCACAACTACCCTCTGAAGAGGACTGTTTAGGCCCATTGTACAGCTTTGGAAACTGAGGCCCAGAGAGCAGAGGTTAAGTAACTTGTCCAGGGTCTCACAGAAGGCTAGTGATGGTGCTAACATATGCTGTCAAATACTGTGCCTGTAGAACTTGGGAAGACCTCAGAGCTTGCTGGCCAAGTTTCCTCCTCTGTAAATGAGAACTGGGATATCTCCTCAGAGGAGTGTCATGAAGATTAAATGAGACTGTTTGTGAAATGTATATGCCCTGACTTCTTCAAAGGAAACACTCAAAATATCTTGTTTTGTCATAGTAAGTTAACCTATAATTTATCCTCCAAGCATTCTGTTGCTGGATTTTGCCAATGATTGATGGAATGATCCAATCAATATTTATTGAGGCTTCTGTTTAGCACTGGAGATACAAATATGACTAAGGAACTCAGAGAGACTTAGGTGAAAAAATATTAAAAGGAAAAAATGATCTAATGTGATTAAAGGACACATAATTAAGAAGATACAGTGTTGTCGCCAAGGCAAGGGTGATGGGCTGTGGAACTGAGGCATCACAGGAGAGAAATCCTGAAGTTGGGTTTTGAGGCATTTACACCAACTTCCCATAAGTTCCTCTTAGAGAAGGATTCGTAGGAAAAGGGCATAGAACTGGCAAGGTCGGAAGCATGGAATAGTATGACCAGGTAAGAAATCTGCAAAGGTTAGATGATGAGAAGGTTTCAGGGGACCAGGGGCAGGATTGAAAGCTGAGGTCCGACTGGGTTTTATGTGCCAAGCTAGTAAGGTGGCAGGGAGAGTCCTTCTAGCTTGAAAGTGACCTATCTCCCAGGTCTCCTTAGGGAAAAAGATATCCCTGCTGGCATGGTGTTAGCAATAACTGCAGAGATTCCCCTAAAGATTTTCAAGTGGATCTCTGTGGAATGTGGTAATTGTTGTTCCTGGGACTAACAAGGTGAAGCTCATACATATTTCACTCATTTTTTTTGGAAGAGAAAAGAATAGTGAATCTCTTCTCCAGCATCTCGTATTTTTACTAGAGCAGTACTTGTTTTCATAAATTCATGTTTAACTTCACTTCAGGTTGTAACTTATCTTAAACTGGGGCCACATTGCAGTTCTTTGGGATTATTAGGCATACTATTATAAGTCATTGAGAAATGGTGCCACAGCTCAATTTATTTTTGTGTTGAGAGCCTGTCGTTAAATATTTGCACAGTTCAGCAACTTATGGTGCTGTTCCTTAATGAGTAATTGTTACCTACTGTTTGAACATGAATTTATAGCTTGTTTTTACTTAGTGATAACATTTAAAATGTAAATTGTATTTAGCGAGTTTGCAGGTGAAAATTTTGCGACTCAGATATATCTTATTAAAATTACTTGATGTTAGTTTCCTTTATAGACATATTTTCAAAATACTAAATTAGTCATGATTATGAAGTACTAGAAATTTAAATGACAACTTTTTTTGAGACACAATATCTATAGTAATATTTTAGTTGTTTCTAAAGTTGTTATTTAAATTAAATACTCTTCAGTATACAGGGTAAATTACCAGTTTTGGTATTCGTAGTCTGAACAATTCTTTCTATAGCATTATTTGCTTATTTTCTAAAATCTTGCAGCAGTGTTCTCTCCTAATGGATACTTAACAATGAAAACTTGTGATTTGATAGTGATTTTCATTAGTTTTTTTCAAACATTAAAAATACTCTCCTTTAAATATTATTGACTTTATTAAATATATAAGATTTATTTAGCATGTTATTCTGTATATACTACATCATTATTTTAGGTTTTTTTGTGATTAAAAAAGAAAACTTCATAGTCATAAAAAATGTGAATTCTTATTAAGGATGACATTATATAATTCATTAAAAAAATTGCATTCTATTTTTAAACCAGCAGCTGATAGCAGCGGCTATAAAAATGGTGCCACCACCAAGCTCTAAATAGCTTTCAAACCATTTCTTAAAAATGCGTATAATCTTGTTTGTCATATGACTGATCATATTCTCATCTTCTGACAGATGGTTTATATACTTATAAATGTTATTCTTATAATATATAAAAGGTCTAATTAAGACAGTTCTTTTTTTATATTCATATGACTATTTGTTTCCTTATATCCTTTAATACTTTTGCTTTTTTTCTAGATCTTGTTTTATAACTTGGTGCTATATTCAAATACAATACTTATTTTAATGAACTAACCAAATTTTCATTTTTTTCTTGTCTTTCATGTTTGTAGAGATTTCCCATTGGCAGTATCTTGCTTTGTTCTTATTCTTTCTTTCCTGTGAATAAAGTAGAGTAATACTTAACCACCTACTGTGAATAATATGTCATATAATGATATCTCTGTCTCCATGGAGTACTCAAAGAAAATTATGTTTTTCCTTATTTTAGATAAAGACATTTTTCATGTTTTCTATTTTAAAGCTTCATTATGTTGTACAGTGGAATCTAGCTTTAAAAAAAGTCCTTTGTATTAAATTTTGATATAATTTTTGATGATGAGAGAAGATGACATTCTTTAGTTTTGATGTTTTTTAGTTTAATGAAGGAAGAAATCTTTTTCTTATATTTGGAAATAATCTTTAGTATTGCAGAATACTATTTAGAAATACATATTAAAATAGCTTTTAGAAATTTTTCTGTGTGGCATATTGAGTCAGGATATCCAAAGCAAATATATAATGTTCTAGTTAATTGGATAATTTTTCTCAATATTTTTCAATAATGTATTCTTTTAGGTTAAAAGGAGAAAGTAAGCAGGTGATGGAATATAGGAAGAGACTAGATGAGGTTTTTTGTTGGTTAACAAAGGCCGAAAATGCTGTGCAAAAGAGATCAACCACTGAGCTGGAAGAAAACCTGCAAGAATTAACAGTAAGTGGCTTATTTGTCTCTATATTTGCCAGTGCTTTTTGATGCATGAACATTTACACTAAAAATAAGATATGGCATGACTGAAGAAGAAACAGGGAAGACACTTTGTACTTTGTGGTAAATGTGGTGAACTTTAAATAGGAATATCTTTTTTTTTTTCTTTTAAAGAGACACTATCATTTTGTTCTTGCAGAGGTAAGGCTTCACTCATATAACAGTGATCAGTCATGTGGTCTCAATATTGGACCAAGGTTTTTGGGATATTTTTAACAATCATCATCATTTTAGAATATAATAATACTCTGATGGATAGTTTTTTTTTGCTTTTGTATTTAGAAGATAACTACTGATTGCTGTTTATAGAATTGAATCTTGCAAGAAAACTCAAAGTGACTTGAGAGTAACTCACTGCAGCCTACAGTGGACTTAGCATCGTAGTTGTATTTATAAGATTTTCTTGTTGTTCTGCAACCAACAAGAATTATTGTTTTATAAGTATAAATATATAAAAATCCATGAAGATACATATAGATAGGTAAATATACCCAAATATCCATACATTTTTATATCCACAAATTTTATATTTTTTGTGTTAAGAATGAAAGTGCTTGTTGAAGAACAATAAGCATAATGTGCTTACATTTTTATTAAATAAAAAGAAATTGTGTGTGTTGTGGATACACACACGTGTATGCATCCAAGTATACCTAAAAGGATACTGACTAATCTGATAAGAG